TCCCAGAGTTATTATTGATAATAATAGGAAGAACCCCTAAAAATTTCTTGCAAAATAATTACTTGCAAAATAATTTTTGTTTATGGAACATTTGTATAAAATAATAAATAAGTTCATACTTGAGACATTTAAAATAATATTAGAAAAATGTATTAAGGAAATAGCTTCATATTTACTGGAGTGATATATAAAGAAGTAATTAAGATAAAAACTTGAAAGTTTTAGAGCTTGTCCCTGTTACTATAAGTAATAACCACCAAATTTCAAATCATTTCATCAATTTTTATCAAAATTATAAAAAAAACGTAAACGATTGAAAACAATCCATGTATTCCCATTGAAACTTTTCGAAGGTTTGGGGCACGTGTTAATATTGAAATTAAGAGTTCAAATTTTACAGAAATATTTTCTTATTTATTTACTACAAGGATATACGATACATAATATAGGGTTCAGTTTAAAAATTTGAACTTGAACTTCGGAAAACTCTTCTAAATCTATCTCAAGCTCAAATAATTATCTAAAACATTTTATATTTTTAATCGTTCAGAAAGTAATTGCTGTATACTACGAGTACTACAAAGTATTATAAATACAAATCATAATTGTACGTTCGCAATTTCAAATAGAACTTTGCAAAAGTTAAACGTTCATCGCGAATAGAAGCGTCCATCCGAACGGTTGTCCACCTAGGCGTCGAGAAAAAAATTCGTTCGAAGTTTCTATCGAAGCAATTTCGCCGGACAAATTACGCGCTTTTGATCTCTAGAAACGACGTCCAGGGAAGCTAACTGGAACTGCGTCTCGGCAGATCACATTCGAGATCAAAGTAGGCGAGTGTATCGATGGCATCAAACATCGACTCGATTTCGGATCTCACTGAATCGTCGTTCGCGGCGCAATCGTTGCACGTGCATCCTATTCGTCGCTGAATGTTCATTCGCTGCAGCGATAATCCGTTTATCCACTTCTCTCTTTGTCCCGGTTTACTAATGGCAGCTCGCAAAAGCGCGTTTATCCGAGGTTGAAATTGGCGTGATTACCGCACGGAAATGAGCGCAATCGTTTGTTTTCCGACCAGGAGACCCGCGGTGTCGTCTAGAATTTTCTTTGCCGTGGACGACAAGTGCGACACGATTTAGAGGATTTCAGTAAATAGATGGATAGCTGGAGAACAAAGTTGGGAATAATTCGTTACAGTTTTCATTGGGTGTTCTGGTATGGACGACGGAAAAGTAATCGATTTTCGAGAATTGTTTGCGTTGAAATGATAAGGAATATTGAAACAAGACTTTCCCATGGCATTAAGGGCGTTTAGGAGATATATTAAAGTAGTCAGTATTTATTAAAAAATTCTAGATTATTTTAACTTGTTTGCCGAGGTCTCTAAACAAATTTGGAGTCGTTCTACGAAGCCGTTCGAAAGTTAGAACAATTTCTATGTATAACAAATTTACGTGTAGTTAAATGAAAAACATGCTATCACATTAATACAAGTACAGAAACAGTATTTAAAAAATAGCAAGAATAATCTATAAATTCATAAATTAATAGATTGAGTAGATTAGTTGATTGATGATACTTATTTTATTTGAAATGTGCTTCGTGTACTGTTTAACAAAAGCTTCTATACTTTCGTAAATTTTTTCAAATTTCGAAAAATCCTTTTGCAAGACATTTTTAAACGATCTAATGCTTCTAAAAATACAATTTTGTAAAAATCAATTCTTTCAAAGTTCAAAATGAAAATACTCCCTTAAATTGCACGATTAATTGTTTTCTGTAACTAATGCCCGTCTGATTTTAAATCTTTCAGTGTAAACAGCGACGGTTTGTCAGCTCTGGATGTCGCGGTCCTCAGCAACAATAGGCCTCTTGCAAAAATGCTGGTCGCTTTCGGCGCACAGGAAGGTAACCAATGTAAGTATTCAGAAAGCTACTGAACACGTATCTAAAATACGTGAAATTCATGCTTATATCTATTGAGCATTACAAAAAGCTTTCCACACTGGGATTTCGAATTTTGTTTTTTAATAACAAATTACGTTTGTCAGCGTAACCGTAGTGGACACTTAAACGACGCCATTCTTCAAATTTAATTAGAATCGTATTTACTTCCATTTAAAATAAAAAATGGTGTGTATAGATATATCCCATACCAGTTGTATTTTATACAAAAAGAAAGTCCTACAACCCCTTTTGGGAAAGCCTTGATATGTTAATATTTCTACACATATAATTGCTGTACAAATTTAATTAGAATCGTATTTACTTTCATTTAAAATAAAAAATGGTGTGTATAGATATATCCCATACCAGTTGTATTTTATACAAAAAGAAAGTCCTACAACCCCTTTTGGGAAAGCCTTGATATATTAATATTTGTACACATATAATGCTCAATATGCATATGCGTGATCAATATGCAATAAACGTGAATGTTACATATATGTGTAACGTTTCTCACCCTGATGTGGCTCTTCTTAGGTAATAAGTAGTAGCAACTAGTCAAAATTAATTTTTCATAATTGTTCATAACTGTTTATGATTTGTTTTCTCGTGAATTTGCTTCTACAAGGAATAATTATATGCTTCACTACAGGGTGCGGCCGAATAACATGTATTTTAGTTTTCCTTTTTTTTTATTTTCTTAGTCAAATAACAATCATTGCTAAACAGAAAAATCAAAGAACGAGGAAGTTGCCTATTGTATCGTTTATCTACTGATTGTAATGAGTCCACAGATATTATTCGAATATTGCAATTCTGGTTCTGAAAAGTATGCTCCTACTTATTCATACAGAATTCAGACCTTTACGTCAATTATTGCGTATCTCTTTTATTTAGAACAGCCCATGCCAGGGTAGAAAATATAATATATTTAGTGAATGCTCAACAGCCGCAAGCATGTATTTTATATTCAGCGCAAGCATTCGCGAATTCAATTGCAAATTGAATTTTGTTTGGAACCCAGAAAATTGTCACGCAGTGAAATAACGACGAAGAACGAAATAAAAGAACAGAATTTGATCTTAGAGTTCGCAACAAAATACAATCCCACTGACTGTTCCAGTTTTGTCGCATGACAACAGGAATCACCGAAAACTAGATTTTCTGTTTGTTTTGAACAGGTTTCACCTGCAGAGACTTTCAATCTGTTTTTCCTTCTTATTTTACAGTCACCTGGTTCAATCAAGTTTTCGTGAATACTCAGAAAATATTTGTCGGTTTGTAACAATGGTTCACACGTTCCGGTGACAAGCTTTGACGCGAGACAACACGTTCTTTTTTTTCTCTCCTGTTCGCGACCATCGTTTTGCCAAACAATAGCCACGCAAATTTGTCGCGTGCAGAAAGTCTGCAAAATGCGCAGAGGAAACGTTTAACTCGACAAATGGTCCCGAACAACGGCAAATTTTTTATTGCTTTTGTCACCCAGTGGACCAAACATTCAAAATGCTACCAAAAAAACAAAAAAAAAAAAGAAATATAAGAAAAAATTCTGAAAGTTAAGTGTATTCGACTACAACGTACTTGAAAGTCTTCTTTACTTTTCTGTTTTCTAGTAACAGGTCAAGAATTTGATATCAATTTTTCAAAATTGAACACGAGGAACCTGAAATGGATGACTTGTATACTATACAAGCTATTAAATTTGCATGAACGTTAATACATGAGAGTTTTGGAAACTGCAGATCATGAATCTGATATTTCACTTTCAAAATATAAGCTGGCGAATTCAATGTGACCAACTAGTATACGGTGAAGTTATTAAAAGTTATAGCCGGATAAGGGGGTCAAAAGTGGACCCTGGGCCATTCAATGTCAGTAAAAATATCAAGTACCCGAATATATTACACCTTTGCGCACGAAAAGTTAGAAAATATCGATTTATAATTTTGTTGTATGTGATACTCCTCTACAAAAAATCTGAACAAATTATATATTGATAACGACAATAAGCTATTAAAACTGTCACAATATGAACATGGTCGTCTGAAAAAATTAAGGTAATACTATAAACAAATATCGATTTTTGATTTTTCCAACATCGTTCCACTACTTCCAAAAATCCGAAAAAATTATAGATTAATAATCATAACAAAACGCTAACAGTGTGAAAATATAAACGTCGTCATTTCATAATTTCCATTAAGAAGAATTATTTTTAAACTTCTCTATATAGACACTGCCAGACAAAACAGCTGAGTTTAAATCAGATAAAAGAAACTTTTGAGACAACTTAATACATTGAATTTCATGAATATCTGAAAACTATCTTTAGTTTCAGCCTGTGTTAGAGGATTCTGCCTTACTGTGCGTTGCAGAATAAATTGCTGCGACGATGTTACAGTGTGGAATTTTCAATAAATTTCGCGGGGAAAAATCGCGTCGAAATTTAAAGTGTAAGCAATGCCACAGGATCAATTCGCTCGCATTTCAGTCTCATTCTGCGTGATTTTTCTGTAACAATTGGACGAGGTTTGGTAGATGGAAAAACGCTGGGATGAGGACGGGAGAGGGGAAAGGGAAAATAGTCGAACGGGTTGGGATTCCAATTAGGATTCCGCAGCGTGTAATAAAAATGCCGTCGAGCTTTATTGCGCTTCGACCACGGGCGCGGCAAAAATAAAGCGAGAAAAGTAAAAATAAAAAAACCGAATCTCGCGTTTCGTTTAGTCTTCGTTCACTCCTGTCACTTTTACCCTTTGACATCGGTACCTATACTCTGTACGATATGAATATTATATTGGGGTGACGATCTTTAGCAGTTTAATATCATTCTGCTTTTAAAACTTGGGAGCAGAAGTTTTAGTCGTCTTAGATTTATCTCGTCTTAGATTTAATCTCGTCTCGCCCGCATCACTGTCTATGTCTATTGAAGAAATTTGTCTAAATTAGGTGATAGGCTTGATGGTTGCAAATCAATTTTTCGTTATAAATACGTACATGTGTAAAGTTCATCTATGTGCATATTCATAATGAAACATTTATTTGAAAACATCAAATGTCACATGTAATATAACAATAGTACGTTAGTATGACATTATCATATTACATTATTTCTAATAAATAACTTTTTATTAAACTACGACTTTGTTAGATAAACTGTTTGCTACGTGTTTATTTATATCACATTTTTAAGAAATATACTGTTGACAAGATGAAATGATTCTCAGTTATTATTCAGTTTATTAGTTTTTGTACCGTATCACGAAGTATGTTCTTTTTTATACTTAAGTAAGCTTTATTGTATATCCATGTATTAAATGGATTATTATTGTAGAGAACGCTAACAGACATTGTTAATTAAATATCTTAAGTTATGCTTGTATTAGATACATAAAATACGTAGCAATACAATGTCGAATTATTTATTTAATTTTGAAATATCTTTAAACCTGTTTCTTTTAGAAACACAAAAAGTAGGCACACAATGCACCAAGTATTATCATAATATTTTTACTTTTGAAGATGGCCTAAAAAATCGAATTCAAAGATAAACAAAAATTTGCTTGTACTAGACTGAGGTTTCCTATTTATTAGTTTTACTCGCAAACCATTTCTCAATTATGTACTTATGAACGTAACGTACAATTTAAGAAAAAATATTGATTATTTACCGACTAACGAGGCTTCGAATATTTATCATGCTAGCAATTAATGAACGCAGCGTACCGAGGATGATTTGTCCAACGGTAGTTCGATGAGAGTGATTGGAAATTTTGAGTCGATGCAACGTCGATCGTCGATGCTCGTGTCCATGCTGTAACGAAACGCAACTGCGATAATTTCGCAACCGATGCAATTAGAATTACTATCCTTGCCGCGAGACGAAGCTTTTAAGCTCGTGGATATGGTATATTAAGCGCCCGGAATGTAATCTCCTCATTAAATTCTCAACGAAAATTTTATCCGATTATTCGAAACTACAAGTGTCGGTTTCGTTAATCAATTTCTGACTATGTTCGTTAGATTTGAAGGTAGATGATTTAACGGGCATACAAAAGTAACTTTTAGGTATTAAAATGTTTAATTACGATAGACAAATTACTGCTCGCGCGTTTAATAGTAATTTTCCGCCGTGATTTTGCACTTAACAAATTTTATGTACGTACTTGCGAGAGTTAAATTCTCCACACGTTTCTGGAGACTTTAACGATTTAACGATGCTCGTAACAGTCATGATTTATGTTGGCGTTGAAGTCTCTTGAAATAAAAGTATGATTTTTGTCGAAACTGGGAATAAATACTGTTTAACGCGAAATTAAAAATTCTTTTTCTTCCTCGGCTTGGAAAATAGTGTTCCCCTTTGTTTCTTGTTAATTAAGACACAGTATAATTAGTTTAATCATCCTCATTATAATATAATTATGGATAATGACTTTAAGCTTGTAAAATTTTAATGTTCAAGCTGTAAGAATTTTTATTAAAGTAATTCCGATTTGTTTGAAGTCTGATATTTATTTGCAAGTTAATGGTAGAATAAATTATTTTAATAGCGTTTTCGACTATTTCTCATCAGTTATTATTAGTTGCAAGAGGTATAAAATAATACTTAAAATAACAAGATGAAAAGCATCGTTAGCTGGCAGTTACTCGTTTACAATTGAATATTTATAATCGATAATGGATTTTCGGCTTTTTGATTTTTACGTGTCTGTAAAAAAGTTCATTCGGCCTTCGCAGTCAACAAGTTACAACGATTTATATTTTAAAATCGAATTGAATTTCGGGAAAGGGGTCTTTTAAGTATTCAATTTTCATTTTTGAAACTAAACGTCGAACGAATAAACTGTAAATATCATAAAATTTCGTTTCGTCATTCATTAATCAATCCAATTTAATTTCTATTTAACATTCTAATTTTTCTATGAACGCTTTCTAACGTATTCGATTGGTTTAAGTAATGATAGTAGTAGAAAACACTTCCGTGCCATTGGAAGTATTTAACAACGTAACTTCAATCGAGGCAATTATCTACAGTAAGATTCGTTATAACGAGGCATAATCAAGTGAAATCAAGAAAATTCGAAGTCAATTTACTCGAAAACAAAGCCTCGCACGAAGAATTTTTATTCTATATTTTCGAGTTATTTTTTCATGTATAATCGCTCCCTTTTCGCTTGCACCACCAGTTACCGAACATCTTGTATATACATTGGCTTTCTTTGGTCAACCAAGCTATTTGAGCCTACTTCTCGATGGCATATAAGCGGTATACGCTCTTCGCAATCAACAGGTTAATAATATTATGTAATATTCCAAGAGAGACTTCTGTACGGCATCGATAACGTGCTAATGTTTTAGCACCCACGGAAGCATGTGGAAAGTTGTAAATTGATCCGTGAGGAAATTATACGGCTCGATTGAAAGTGGAAATCGATATCTGCCGTGGACAGAATTGTGGCGGAACGATTGCGGTGTAACCAGCCGTCCCGGATGCAATTCGCCGGTGAATTTTGCATTCATAAACATAGGATCGACTGAATCGGTCCAATTAACTGAGAGAGGATCCCTGTCGAGGATTTTTCCGCGATTCTCCGTTCTCCTCACAAGCCATGCTGATTTGTATGACACGATTGGACCGACTACATGTATTCTTCGCGAATGTTCCGTTCTGTATTAAATCGACCCTTGCTTTCATAACATTTGCTACGTGAAAGTTCGCTCGTCTCTGAATGATTATATTGCTACGTAACAAGCCCACATTCTGGCAGTTTAAAAACAATTCCTGTCGTTGGCGATAATAAATTCTAGCAAATACCTTTTAAAACTAGGTACTAGGTGGCAAATATTTATTATTTAATCATTTCTTCAAATAATTTGCTGTTTTGTTTCGTGCCATTCTCGCGACTGCACGCAACCCCCTTTAACCCATTTTCACCTGTATGTAGACCAGGCCTGGCCAACTCAAATGGGCCGCACTTTAGGTAAACATATAGGTTAAAAAAATAACATTAACGTTATGTTAAAAATATAATACATGTACAAAATACCGCTCGATGTCATTGTTCCACTCTCCTCTATTACTAAGAGCAAAAATGTGAGGATCGTTTCTTTATTCATTTATTACGTAACTGTATTCAAATTACAAATGAACGTTACTGATGGTTGCCTGTTGAAACCGATTCATTAACGCTCTTTCGAACGGTGTGCTTAGTTTTAGATTTGCACTGTAATTTGGCGGAGTTATGGCCGTTTAAAGAGTGTCGAGTCGCAAACGCATAAAAAATATTAAAAGTGAAAATTCTCGAGAATAAGGCGACACAAAGAAAATGTCCAAGAGTAATTTTTTGTTGGAAATTTGTTGTAGAATTGACAGCCTGCGTATGTCCGAACTTATACGTAGACACCCTGTAGAACTGGAGTTCGTATTATAGCAATGGCACATGCGAATTTTCATTCATTCGATATTTTTGTATACATATACAACGAGAAACAGAAGTTTCGATAGAAACTCAAAATCACCAGGCGAGCTGCGTGTTGGCCAAGACTGATTTAGACTCTAACCCGTTTTTGGACCGCTTCCTCTACGTTTATATTAATTACTAAGATCATTATTATTAACAATAATACATTTTTACTACGAATTTGGTCCTTATTCGCACAGTCAAATCTCCGGAATCCTTGGGTAGCCATTTGGCCTCGTTGCTGTCGGAAGCGGAGCACAGGGTCCAGGAACTTGGCGGAAGTACTTCCGGTAGCGCCGGGACCACCCTTTTAGAGCCACCGAGCAGCCATAGATCGAGTTTTTCGTCGCAGCACAACAATCTCACGGGATGCGGCGGTAGCACTGAAGACAAGCAACTGGCTTTGTGGGAAAGGAGAGCGAGAGCTCTCAGGAAAATGTTGCTCGGGTTTGATCAAGCGAGTGAGTATTCCGGAAGCATCGATATCTCAACGTCGAGATTCAACATAGTTCAGATGAATAAACTTCGTACAGTCGAGTACCCGTTACAAGCCTGGTCTAGGCCCTAGACTCTAGGGGACGTAGGAGGAATTTTGTTCAGAATTTCAGCGTCACCACTACCGCGCAGTTACTTTTGTCGCCCGACTACCTCTCGTAAGCTTGTTCATTTTTTCCTTCATTTCAAACGTTATATTTACATTTAGTATCGATTCAATTATTTGCCGCAAAGTATATACTGTAATCTTCCTGTATTATTTTGTGTTCTTCTTTCTATTGTTAATTAACCCTTTGCACTCGAGAGGTGATTCTCAGTCACCATTTGGTTTCACGCAGTAAATCTACAATACCTAATGTTTCTTTCAGAATTTTTATTAAAGTAACTCCAATTTGTTTGAAGTCTGATATTTATTTGCAAGTTAATGGTAGAATAAATTATTTCAATAGTGTTTTCGACTATTTCTTATCAATTATTATTAGTTGCAAGAGGTATAAAATAATACTTAAAATAGCAAGATGAAAAGCATCGTTAGCTGGCAGTTACTCGTTTGCAATTGAATATTTATAATCGGTAATGGATTTTCGGCTTTTTGATTTTTACGTGTAATTACGTTTAATTTCTTTGGAGCTCAAAGTGTCGATAAAATGATCGTCGGCGAGGTAAAGGTGACTTTATTCTCAAATCTAGATAGCTTAGGTATCGGTAGATACCAGAAAAAAAGGCCTCGAGTGCAAAGGGTTAATAATAACAGTAATAATATATTTTATCTTCGTGCATACTCGTATAGATTACTTGGAATTTGCTTTCAACGTCTTCTCGTTAAGTTGCATTTTACATTTTGCAAGTTACATTTTATTTAACAAATCATAATTGCTTTCCTGTATGTACTTAGTTTATAATTTTGACAGTTTTAACGCATTGTACGGGGTAGCCTGGCACAAAACGTAAAAGAGTGATTAAGTGGGGGAAGTCGTTTCGACTCAGCAACTGCTGATTGAGGGGAAGAGGCTTATTAGGGCCAGGCTTATGACGGGCATTCGACTGTAATATCATAATCAAAAAATGTTTAGGATAAATAAATCCTCATTCTCAGTTATCGAATAAAAATTTAAACAGTCGAAGTTGATGTTTCAAGCAAAGTTGCCAGCCTGGTTCAAGGATCACTATAATTATAGTGTTCCACATAAATCTGTTTTGATATTGAGTGATTGTTGTCATCCTAAAATGGTCTATTAGACAGGAACACTTGACAATTGCAAAAAAGGCTAGCAAATGATTGCACCGTCAATTTTTTTCGTCGTTTATTTCATTTCTATATGTCACTTACTTCGAGAATTTTTTATAAAATAATATAATAATTTAGAAAGTATTGAAATATCCAAAACTAAGCTTCTAATTATCTTCCGACCGCCGTCAGAGCTCTCATCAGGTACATACAAAAGTATTTAACCTGAATGTGTGTTAATCTTTTACTATAACTCCCGACAAACCTTCTATACTCTTCATAAATTTATAAGAACTTTTTATATTAATTCATGATACCACATAATGCCCAGTAAACTCACACAATCTTCTCGTTTAACCCTTTGAGTGCCAAGGAGCGATATATCGGTCCTCCGTACGCTTGCGAAAAGGGCCAAGAACTCGTTGAAAAGTCAATTTCGCTTTACGAAAATAACACCAATATCAAAACGTTCGTGTTCAAATATTGGATGGTAGGTAAATTTAGTTTATTTTGATATTTAAGAGTATTCACAGCATTACAGATATTAAGAGCATGTACATTTTTGTTTACAATCATGAATCTTTGCTTAAAATTGTCTGGCATTTCTCGGATATGTATAAATATTTCCTGTGGCACTCAAAGGGTTAATACGGTAACTTAATTTACGTTTAATTAACGTCCTCTTCTTGTCAGGACCACCAGACATACCGTTCCTGGTCGCAGTCGACGTTACGGGGACGAATTCTGTGACAGTGAGATTCCAGGAGCCAGATTCTCACGACTCGCCCATCTGCACGAAGTTCAAAGTCCAGTGGAGCGTCAAAGAGGACTTCTCCGTGATCTGCGGGGATAGAGAAGTTCTAGACATGAAGCAGAGGGAGTGCAGAATCGACGATCTGATCCAAGGACAGAAATACCACTTTCGAGCTGCTGCTGGAAATCTGAAGGGCTACAGCAGGTTCAGGAGCTCGACACCTGCTCACGTCACACCCAGCAGTACGGTTATCGTAGAATATTATTAGAAAATATTAGATCTTTTTGTTATATTTGAATCGATAGAAGATTTATATGCCGAATAAAGTTAACAGAATTGATGTTCGGAATAGAAGTCCATCATGAATGAAAATCAAACTATTAGAATGATATATAAACTGTGGTAATATAATCTAGATACTTAGATCTTCTTATTACTTTTTTCCCCTAAAATTTAAATAACAGTCCTTAAGTCGTGCTCAATCTAACATTACATTCTAAAGAATACACGCCCTACATAGTTCAATTGTTTTTTGTCTGATTTGATCGTTTCTTATGTTTAACAAAGCAAACCGTTATGATTCTGTTACGAACAGAAATATCTAATTATTTCTTTAATTCTTGAACTCTGATTTCAATCAAACCTCGATCTCCTGAGTCGATTATTGCGGCATGTATTTTTCTATGTGTAATCCGAACGGTTGATCTAAAACGTTTTTTTATTAATATTCATTTAGTAAAAAATTATTTGTTGATAGGTTGATACAGAGATTGCACAAATTACTAACTAATGTACATCTTTATTCCTAAGAGATCGATATAATCATAAATTTGAACGAACTAAAACTGTTTCTTTTAATTTTATCATTTGTATTTCAAGAAGAATTAAGTTTGGAGTTCGTAGCATCCATAGGCTAAGTAGTCGTGTCGAATTAAATTCACTGCTGGACCCCTGAAATTTGAAGTGTCCTTCAAATCATCGTTCCAGGTTGGAGGGACATCGATGGCAGGTTGCCAAGGTTTGCTGGCCGATTGGAGCAACTGAATACTCTGTTCACCGATATAAGGCGACCAGAGTACACTCAAGAAACACCAGCGGTGCAGAGACGCAATCACAGGAAGAAAACTACGATAAAACAGCTGTTCACGGCTACGAGTAAATTCCAAAAGAATCTGAGGCGGGGCGTCTTTCTTGCCTGTCTGCTCTATCACGAGGATAAGGTGCTCGTGACAAACGAGGATTTCCTACCGGTGATCGAAGTCGATGAGACTTACCCAAGCTGTATTTACAACGACTTCCATTGGCTCATGAAAGTGGCCTGCACTTGGGACGACGTCAAGACACTTCGTCAAGACATGGAGAAAAGTCATAGCAGCTCTACGAATCACTTCAGGATAAAGCTGCTGCAGGCTGCTGCACAAATGCAGGTTTGTCTTTTTATTGCGAAAATAAACTTTCCATCGTTCAGATTTATCTTTCTACTATTCTTGAATAGCTTGTCGTGCAACCTCGCGCGTCAATCGAATAATTCCCAAAACGATGTTGATTACAGGCAGCACTGTGCATACAAGACCTGGGGCAATTATACCATAAACCGGTCAGAGACATCCAAGGGACCCTAGTTTTCTCTACGGTGAATTACATTAAATCTCCAAAATTGATCTCGGTATTGAACAGCAGATGGTTGCCACTCAGTAAAGTCACGAAGAAGGTCATAACCCACGAGGACAGCAACGTGGCGGACATCTTAATAGCCAGCATACAAGAACAAATGACCTATCATCAAGTCAGCAGTATTAAACTGTCAAAGGGATTGTATCTTGGCTACCTGAAGATGCAGAGTAGCGTAGATCTCATCCAGGTTGTGGTACCCGCGAAAGCACCCAATGTCTTACCTCATTGCAAGATTCGTGACAATCCGCACGTTTCCGCGTAAGTGCCGTCTTATAAGACAATGAGTTTCATAATTTTATGTTTATTTAATAATATAGATTTTTACCGATTACTAAGATCCTTGTACTAATTGTATGCATTGGTAATTGCGCTAGTTTTTCGTTAAACTTCAAATAAATTATTTATGTATTAGAATATTATCCCGTCACACATATTGAATGATTATAATAAAAATAAAAAATTGTACTTCTATTTATTTACAGTAGAATCTTTACAAAATTTTGTTGTAAACTACATTCCTTGTAAAAATTCTAGTTTCTTTTGAAAGGTTTCTTTGCTGTCTTTCCTGAGTGATAAAATTCCTAACATATACAGGGTGTTTCTTAACTGCTTATATCTCGATAACGAAGTCACAGTTTCCAAGTTAAAAGGCGCATACATATTAAGAAACACTCTATATAATAATAATTGTAGATAATATTTTCTCAAATTAATCAGTCTATACTTTCCGTCGGAACGCAAAGAGCGACTAACCAAAATCTCATTTAGATTGGAAAGAATTAGTAGGAATAATAGGGACATATTTTACATGTCAAAAATACTGCTCGATGAGTTGATTTCTTAAAATTCATTTGATTGCAGCGAAGAGTGGGATTATCTGAAAAGGATAACTCGTATCCACGCATCGGACACTTCAGTGAAGGACTCTGAAGAAAAAGAGAACGTAACGAACGAGTCGCAAGGTACCGAGCAACAAAAGCTATTCGTGGATCTGGTTGCTGCCACCGCGAGACGATTGTTCAATTATATGGAAATCAATCCTGAAGATTCTCTGTGCCATCGACTCTACGACGCTGAAGTTATTGATCTGACCCACGACGTGTCCTTCGTGATCGCCGTACCTCCAGCAGAAACCGCCTGCTGCGTACCTGGGACCAGAGAAATCCTTCTACAGAGGGGCGATCTTCTGTCGTTACCTATCCAAGTATTCGAGATGGTACACTTAAACACGTACCAAAAAGACGTAATCAATAGATACTCGAGGTTAAGCTGCATCCTGGAACTGGATACAGCCCAAGCTCAACACAGCCACAGGGAAGCCTTCAGCTCTCTGGAGTTGAGCGTGGCGAAGGACAAGTTGGCCAGGTTACAGGATCTTCAGTCGCAAGTGAACACCGTCTGGAAAGGCGCTAGATGGCTAATAGACGTGATCACGTTCGCAAGGGACCGTGGATCTTCGCAGCAAACCGTAAGTTGAGTCCATCGGATTTTAACCGTATATTTCCTATGCTCGTTGCTTGAATTTAAAGTACTTTGCGAATTATAATTACAGAGTACGTCGCAGGCGGTTGGAATTTCAATGAAGCACTTGCTTAGTCTCGACAGGAACAAAAGCAACAGTAACAGTAACAGTTTGAAAAGGAGTTTACTGCAGTTGCCGCCACGCGATCCGAAACTCGTCAAGTCCAGTCCAGGTCGAGGCAGTTGGCCAGGACCCAACGTGGCCAACTCCTCCTCGAATCTGCTCACGACAGAGTTCAGCAAAAGTGAGCAACAGTTGCCCAGCGGCCAGTACATTCGCAAAGGCAGCAACACCTCTAACGTGTCGACCGGCTCGGTGCCTCAAAAGTCCTCTATACCGATAAGCAGCACCAGCAATCTTAGCAACGCGACGAGCGCCAGCAGTACAAACCATCTGGTACCGTTGCAGAACACGAGGCTACCACCCTCCAAGTCCGAGGACACTCTGATCTTAGCAAAATATAAACAAAGTCCCCGAAATAGGTCAGCAACGATCACGTCTGCCTCGGCCAGTAGCAGTCCATTGCTCAGTATGAAGCCCATCATTTACGGCGGATCGCTTTTAAGCGTCTCGACAGCCATGACGAACACGACGAGTTTGCTCAGCGTCAGTAACACCAATTCCGACAGTTTGCACTCCCTGAGCAGCGACGAATACTCGACACCCAACTCGACAGTCTGTTTAAAATCTGGCCACACCAAAGGGAAATCCTCCAAACCCACCGCTAGCGTCGCTGCAATGGCGACCGGAGCACTGGAGAACCAGATGGAAGAAGAAAAAGACGAAGCAACGATGATGCCAGCACCGCCGCCTGGCATACTTCAGGTAATTTCTGTCGATATTCTCAAACGTTAATCATAGCTGAATATTTAGGCTAGAAGTAATATATTAGGTGTATCTATAAATAATGTCGTTTTTTGATACCTTACAAAATGTTACTTTTTGAAGGAGTTAATACAGCCTTAATCTACAATACAATCTTTCATTCGGCAAACTTTCTATTCCTCTTTGTAAAATGTGGGTGATTCGAAATAAAATATTCTTCAAGTGCAATATTAGTAGTTGTCGTAGCAGGAAACCTTTCTGCTACTGAGAATATGTATCATAGGTCTGAAAAGTTGGCAATGCAACGGTGCAACATTAGGGAAATACGGTAGCTGAGAAAGTACTTTCTAACTCGATTCATTGTGAATGGCTCTTCAAGGTCTTGTCATCTTTATCATGCCGCAGAACAATACATTCACAATTAATCAATCTTGGAGTTTTTTTAAGTCAAAGTCATATTTAGTTCATAAAACTGAGTCGAATAATATTCAGTACTAATGATTTCATTAGGATTCGCAATCTCTACAACGAATAATTCCTGTAAAATCTCACCATATCGGTAATTACACTTTTTTAGAGTGAAGACCTGGTTTTGAAATGGGCAAGGGTAGTTATCCTGGTCGACCAAACTGAATGTAACTGAACAAAAGTAAAAGAAGTTGATAAAACTAAACGAAACTCAACAGCAATTTGTTATATTAACCATTGTTTTCTCATATATGGATTACTTTCTAGAATCCATTTATCTTTTCCCTACTCAACCTAGATAAAAGTGGACCGCAGATGATTACACATTCGCCTGAGCTAACCTACGCCATTTTTACCTTCCATTCTTGTAGGGTTTACCTAATCTTTTTCAAAATTTAACCATAAGCACAGTAAATATTAGTATATCTAACTTGGTTATATAAATAGATAACAATATTTTTAAAATTTGGAAGAAAACGACATTCCATTAGGTACCCTTAATATAATGAATTTTTTAACGAGGCGAGACTAATAGAAACACAAGTTAGTGACTCCCAAGGTTGGTCTGTTGCATTGCATAGGTTGAAAATAATACAATGAAACATATAGTAATTATTTTAAGAGGTATAAAGTGAGATTGACCAAAATTTCGAATTTTCTATTTATGTACATCTTCGTTGTCAAATAAATATATCCCATACCGATCTTGAGACTCATTGCGACGCAAACTGCCTCGATCGCTTTATATTGAATGAGAGTTCGTTCCATATTTTCCAAGCTTTCTTAGGGTAACGCATTTGTTTGAATTCTGACCGCAAAGCTTGTTATCTTCCAGAATGATCCGTTAAGTTTAAATATGTTTTTCCTTATAGGGAACACAAGTCTAACCCGATTGTAGTTAAAAACAGCTCACTTGGTCTTCTAGTGCAGACCGATGTAGCAGACACACGAGTAAGCCGCTAAACCGCTACGTTTCAGCGCTTGTTCCGCTCAGATACGCTTTCCAAATCATGCTTTTCGTGTATCATCTAGGGCTGAGACTACATGTCACATTGTATCTATCTGAATATTGAAATATTTCAATCGTTCAAATATTTGAAGAACGCATATTCAATATAATTCAAATACTATTGACATACTTTATTCACCGAACAAGAATACGAATGCATGGAATAAAATTGTACTCTTATTTAATATTTAAACAGTAATATTTAAATACTTACAGTATTGTATTTCACCACTATATATTAACTTTGATGTCGTTCCAAATTTATAGAATTTCATTAGAAGACTAATTGCTCATAACAGTTGAAAATTGATCGATTAATTTGTAATTAATCGAAATATGACAGAAAAGCTCGAATATCAAACAATTGTAATAATCCCAGCCCTGGTATAAATCTCTTTGTAGCATGTCAGATCCTAAATTACGCAACTGTTCTTTCAACAAGTTCTTAATCTCAATAACAACAAGTGTTATAGCTCAAACGTTGTACGACCACTTCATCCTAAATTACCCAGTCAATTTGCAAGTGGACTTTCATTGATTTCTTTGTCCGCTACTAACACCCATTAATGTCACTCCTCGTTCACGAGTAACAGCCAGACGCACCGAACAACGCGTTGTCGCTGCCAGCTGAATGTCGCTGCAAACGCTGATTTTCCACCAGAAAATCTCTGTCTGTTTGGCATGACGCATCCCCGACCGCTGCACCTCTAACGAATCCGTCTTTGCAGGTTTACGCGGCCTACGAGACCGGCCTGGCCTCTGGAACCAGCCTGAAATTGCACGTCACGCCGAGGACCACGGCCAGAGAAGTCGTCAATCTGGTTGTGAAGCAGCTGAACATGGCAATGGTCCTGAAGGGCCAAGAGGGCCCCATTTATACGCCCGACGAGCTGCCAAACTTCTGTTTGGTGGCTGTGATAGGCGCGAGAGAACGTTGTCTCAGGGACGACTTTAAGCTCCTCCAGCTGCAGAATCCTTGGAAGAAGGGTAGACTGTACGTGAGACAGAAACAGGACGTCCTCGCAGCCCTCGAGCACAGTAGCAAACATACAGCGTATTTATAGCACAAGTAAAAGAGTAAGAAGGAGGAGATTACATAGAAACGATCTCGTGGATGAGACAAGAAACCCCTGTCCCCGGCGATAGCGCGTAAGAAACTCTGTCTCGTAAATGATTGGCAATAGAAGCCAAAGATCATTTCGTTCGACGCGTTCCGCGTCAAGTGGGCTTTCAGATTCCCACTAGAGCTTCGATAGAGTCGAGTATTCCATATTTCATTTCTTCTGGTTTATTTCCACATGGAATGGAAGGTTGTAGATATTCTCTCGAAGGCATAGACTTGGACGGGCACGGAACGCGTTGGCGTGTATATAAAGCAAACGCTTGCAGTGGCTACACGACGAGTTTTCGGTTCTATGTCGAGGCTCTAAGTAAATTACATGTAATTAGATAGAGGTGTGCAAGAGCGATAGCGTGTCGAGGATTGAGAAATACGACACGATAATTCCCGCTTTCGAGTGACAATTATTACGCCATTTATATGAAGCTGATTTTTATTACGCGTATGTATTTTTATTATCAATCTAACAAATGTGAAGTGACTCGTATTGTTTCGGTCGCGACGTAAAAAATTGGTGTACGCGCAGTCGTGGTTGTGGTTCAGCTCGATACTGATGCTCCGAAACCTTCTCGAAGGACCACCCAATTGATTATGGGAAGACTGATGGTAATCCAGTCGGTACGAACTATAAGGAGTTGTTCTCTTTGAGGCATCGGAAACCATTTTCTCTCTAACGACACGATCGAGATCTTGTTTGATTTCAAAATCGCTCTTTAGGGAAGCCTCGACCCTCTTCCTGCTCCGGCTTCGGTGTCGGACTTCATCGACGTACACATCAACTTTACCACCGGTGCCACTTTTCCTTCTCATCCATCTACCCGCTTCAACCCACTCATCCATAGTGGGTAATTCACTATTTTCATTTTCATTATTTTAATGAAAACACTTATTTTCAATAAATTAAAGTTTAGAATAGCTAAAGAGAAAATCTGTTTTCCTGTAAAACCAGTTTTATCTTTCTGCAAACGATTTCATATACTCGAGGAAGTGAAAACAATTATATTTCATGAAAAACAAAAGAATACACTTTTTTTTTTTTTAAGCGATATAAAGGGAAAGCTTATTAAGTGTTTTTTACCTAATTGACGGGTGAAAATATTCTCCATGCACTCCTTTGTTGCACTCGAAACGTGCAATTCTTGATCTAGATCTTGGTTACGTGCTACACGCTACGCAGTTTCTCTCTTTTTTCCCAAGTAATTTACGAAAACGTATTATTAAAGAACTATTAGTAGTTAAAGCGTTTAAGTTTTTTACTTTCATCCAATTTTCAGCTGACTTCTCAATCATTTTTACGATAAATTCATGTACGTACGATTCATGCATTAAGCGAATATTCTGCTGTGTTAGATCGGATTAAATCTCGGTAAAATTCGAAATTTCAGCTCAAGATATTCCTTGGGAAATCCGCAAAGACGACATATTGACACCAAGGTATTAAGAGGTTTAGCAAGATCATTTTGCTAAACCTCCATAGCGTTTATATTTTATTAGAAAAAAGAAAACCATATTCAAGTAACGGAATCATCCGCCATTTATGTTTATAAACTGCGAGCAATTCTTGTCGGCCTCGAATGCTTTTCCAACTTGGTTTCAAGTAAATCGAAGATTTCAATGTTGTCACTCGATGGCGAGAATTATCTTATTGACGCGACCCGCACATTCCAGCCGAATTTCGATCCGCAACGTTGCCGTTGAGCGAGCAGTTTGCAAAAGAATGGATAATACTCAAGGTATACTGTTATATTTTAAGTACCGATCTCAGTGTCTCGCTCGAGTGTGAATCGAATGCTTGAGAGATCTCATCGTCCGAATTGTATTCGTATCCACGTAATACTTGAACGAATCGCACCTTCTAATATGCACTGTTTTATTAGTTAGTTTCGTTATTAATTGTTAATCGCAATCGACGAGGATTGGTACTCCGAATGGATGAAGAATACAATCTCGAACAAGGTTTTGTTCCGTAGGTGATTGCTTGTAGAATGTGAAACCAATTTGAAACTAAAACATAGTTTGTTGAACGCATTTATTTACTTCTTTTTAAATGTGTCGGCCTCGCGTCCAGGTCTTCTCCGGTAAACGATTGTATAATGTACAATATTACTAAAATAAGCAAAAATTCGGTTGCATCGAGCATCGATGAAGAAACGAGTCACTAAAAAATAGTTTGTCAAAGCAATTTATTTAATTCTCTTTAAATGTTTAGATCTCGCGTTCGCCTTCTTCGATAAATACTTGTATAGTGTATAACAATACAAAGATAAAGAAAAAATCAGTTCAGACAAGCCTCGTTGATAGGCTCAAGAAACGGGCCACTAAAAAATAGTTTGGTAAACGCAGTTGTCTAACTTTCTTTAAGTGTTTTCAACCTTACTTTCAGATCTTCTTCGTTAAACAATTGTGTAATACGTAACATTGATATGCAAAACTGAAGAAAAATTAGTTTCGACGAGCTGCTCTCAGTCGAGCCTCGTCGACAAGCTCGAGAAACGGGCCACAGTTCTCGAAGCGGATTACTCAGCCTAAAAGAGTCTCCGTTCTCGTCGAGGCTCCATTGTCGTGCCGAAATCGAGCAATTCTTTTCCGTTGGACGTCGAGATCGTCCCATTTTCCCCGGAGATCCGTTAGAAGATTGTCGGCTCTTGTTTTGAAGCGAACGAAACGAGTGACAATGAACGAAAGCGTCCTAAATATTAAGCAGTCACACAAGGTGCTTAGGGGATAGAGGATAGCGATTAGGACGAAGTGCGATCGAAAAGCGTGCAGATGTGATCCAGATGAAAGAGGCTTATAGACTGTTGCGTAGAGTAAACGAAAAGAGTATTACTACGATTATTTTTATTCTCGGCGTCGTCGCGTGTTTTTCTTGCGTCCATTATTTACACGCGAGTATTCGGGTATATTTTTGTCACGGGATAGTTCGCTCTCTTTCGCGTTCTCCAAGCTCTCGGTGTCTTTGAAATGTTGCATTTGTACATTTGTATTTTACCAAACGAGAATTGTGTACGTTCGTCCCAACCTTTTTCTTCTCTGTTGAGGAAGGGATATATTTGCGAATTAGAAGGTTCTCAGCGGAGTCCCATGTATTCGAGGACCGAGATCCCGGATCATAAACACCGCCATTGGTGATAAATATGGTGCAGAGCGGATTGTATGATACAACCTGAACGCACGACACCGCTGTACTACGTTTTCAGCAAACAATGCAACTCAACTTGCAGAATGTTTCGAAATTATTACGCGGGTCTACGGTAATTTATGCTATTCGTTAATAATTTTTTTATGCGAGATTCGAGTAAAGAAATTATTTTTGTTCATTGAACACAGATCTTTATTGGCTTTTTATTAAGATCAAATACGTTGCTTTCGAATGAGAACATAATCCCGAGTTTCTTATGTGAAACGTTACTGTACTATGAAAATTGAGAATCTTGCGATGTGTATCATTTTTAACCGACTTCGTTGTGTTTTAAGTTCTTGGTAATAGCGTGAAAGCATGAAAATTTTCTTTTGATTGTGAAAATTGAATCTTCGCTGCTAATGAAATTGAATAAATTTAAAAGAACAGTTGTGTTTTGCATGTGTTGTTACAGAAAACAAGTAGAATACACCGGATGCTTGTATTGTCAACTTCTTTTATTACTTTGAAGAATATCAAATAATAAAAAGGAACGGATAATAAAAGTGTATTTCAATAATCTCTGTAAGTATAACCAATTCGTAATTTGTTAACGATTGTTTCTGTAACAGTACATATCAGAAATATTATATTAAGTTTAACCATAGTGTGTAAATTATAACTTTGAAGACCAAAAGTTTGGTCAAAATGTTGCTTTACATTGCTTTAAATCATTCTAAACATCCCGAAACAGTAATTATCGTTTATTTATTGTGTTTAAGATATCTAAACGAACAAATAATCGATAGCCGTTTTAAAAAAAAAAATGAAAACAATTGCCAGATTTTGGGAGTTTATTCTTAGACCAATGCTTCAAAGGCACACAGTGATGTGCAACGTTGATTAGCGTTAATGTGAAGATCCGTCCTTACAAAATTGAATAGTGGTGTCGTGCATAGGTCACCTAAGTTTAATCAAAAAATATACGATGCGCATATTTTTTTATCGAGAGAGAAAGAAGTGAAGAGATTTCTACTATATTTTACCGAGGTTCATACCGATCCGTGTGCATTCTCGAGTTTTACACGAAGACGTGGTCTGCGTATACAGCAGAAAGGAGAGTAATAGGGAGAGTGTGCAACCGGAATGAGAGAATGCGAGAGCAGAGGAAGATGCGAAGAGAAAATTTAACAAATCGTTAGAAAAATTTATTAGCTCTACCTGAGTGTCTATTGATGTTGAGTGTAAAATAATCACTAGCAGTTTTAAGCGTTACCACGGGAGGAAAACGACGAAATATGCGAGCAGACTAGATATTCCTCCCCGCTACCCCCCAAAAAAAGTAACAGAAATAAATAATGAAAACGGACGAGGAAACGAACTACTTGTAAATATACAAAGAAATCTATGTATGTATAAAATATAAATGAGAATGATCGAAGAACCGGAAGTTAATTATTTTAAATGCTATCGGCGATACCCACCACCGGTGATATCCCTTATTTTTCTGTTTTAGCGCACTTGATCGTACGAGGAATCGCACTTGCATGTTTTGTTTCGTCGACCAGAGATGGCAAGCAGCTCTCGAGGAAAGGAGAAACGAACCCGGACCCTCACGACCGACAGTCCCGCTGACCTACTTCCGACTTGTTTCTCGCCTCATCTCGTCGAGCCACCTACTCCTTATTTATCCCCCACCCGGTACAATTGTGCGCCCCGGTCTTCCGGTTGGTTGCCAAGACGAGATCCGTGGTAATGAAAAACCACGAGGGCATCCACTCTCAGGAAAGATGCCTCTCGGAGGTCAGGCAACTTCCTACTTTCGATTAGGAATCTTGACATTTGCACATCTCGAACAGGGCGCATTCGTCAACCCATCACGGGCCATTGTTCTGTTTATAGAAAATTCGTTTAATAATCGTATACACTCGTTAACCTATCGGTGGTATATTCCACCGTAGAACATCTTTCCAGCTACTTTTGTTATTTTTTTAT